AAAACCTTTAATTGGCTAATTAAAAAAAGCCCTATAAGGGGCTGCAGAGAATCACCCAAAATGTTCCTAATGCAGACTGACATTTTGATTTTCCCCAAAGTTTGAAGCAAGACTTTTGGTATGATCACAGTTTGAGTTAGAGAGGGTAGAATTACTTTCTTCCAACAACTCATTCATTCCTCCAAAGAGTGCTGACACAATCAGATCTCTCATCAGGGTTTAATGCTAAGTCTCATAGCCCTGAAGCAGCACAAAAATCTCTATTTCCTGAACATTTCACTGACCTGTGGTGTTAAAGACTTGCCAACTAAGACAAACCATTAAATGAGCAGGGAACCACAACAGTAAAAATACTGCATGAAGCAGCCATGGCTGGTAAGACCTCAGGGTCTAAATCCAAAAATATTTTATCATCTTTAGTGGAACTACTGCTCTTTTCAGAGGCACGGATTGAATTCCCTATTGTGGAGGTAGAATTTGAGACACACCACACACATGGACCTGGCACTAAGCTCCAGTGTGATCCACGCACGTACTGGGACATCCTTGCAGTGCTCTGGCTGGCGCGTATTGCTGTCGGGACAGCCCAGCGCTGACTGCGACTTGCAGAGCGCACGCTCTCTGCATCTGTGCGCTCATGCTCTTACAACACTTCAGCAAAAATGATGCTGTTGCTCTTCTGCAGTTTCCTTACTCTCCACTGTCAATGCAGGTTTAATTATATGCAACGAACAGCTATCTGTACTTGGAGACTTTAGATTAAGTTATCAGTCAAGCTGGGGCTTAATCTTCTCGGTTTGCAAGCACGGAGGGGTCCAGTCATTTGTCCTGTTTGTGGCATGACAGAATTACAGGGTAATTAAAGCCAGAAGGGACCTCGGGAGGGCATTGAGCCCAACCTCCTGCTCAAAGCAAAATGCATCCGTAGTGTTTAGGCACCACCTGGGTTGCAGGACTGGCACTGGAGAAAAGGGCCTACTTCTGAGTACCCAGGTCATGACATATGTTGTGTATTGGGGGCTGTGCTCTACCATCATATCAGCATTATGATTTTTAGCACATCCTTACAATAAAAATCCCATTTTTGCTGATGACTTTCTTCAAACATCCACTTTAATTTTCTCCTAAAAAAATTCTCATTTATGCTCATACGAAAGATGGTAAATGCGTAGACAGTTTGGTGCAAGTTTTCTCTGTTCAGAATTTGCTCGACTTGTCCTACAGATGAGCCTTAGACTTCTCAGTTTAGTCCTCCTGCTCTCCGTTAACTCTCTGAGTGTACATAATCAAAAGATTTCTTTTCATACCAGCAAAAAGGATAGGTTAAAGTAGAGAGAGATTTCTGAATGCAGTTGTATTTACCATTTTATTCACAGCCTCCCTCATCCTTCTGCCAAAAGCTCGCCATAATGTGCGTATCCAGAGGGGTTAAAGGAAAAGCAAATATTGATTGTCTCGAACTAAAGGTGGTACATTCGCAACTACAAAAGTGAAGCAGTGAGACAGATGGAGCCACATCATAATATTTAAGCATAAAGGTCAGGGAGTGAGCTGCAGCATGGTTATATTCAACAGTGCTTAAAGAACAGGGATTGCTGCTGCTGACAGATTTGTTAGAAACCTGTTTAGCTGCCACGAGCATGAATATATCCAAACAGAAGCATCTATCATCATTAGAATGATAACCCCAAATACATTTATTTCTTGTTTGGTTGGGCTTATTCTTGTTCTTACTCTTAATCCTCACAGACTTTGGACTCAGCCTAAACATCATTTGATTTTTATGGTTGGCTTCATTAGCTTTTAGTGCAATTTCAGTGGCTCGGTTACTAAATCAAATCCACTGTGATTGTGGTTGCATATGCTTCACAGGCCTCTTGAATACGGCAGATGACTTGGAGGCCCGTTTCTCCTTTATTTTATGCTTTTTGGACCAATAAATCCTTTTGATTTCTACCTTCTTTGTGAAATTAGTGCTGTTGTATCTGCACAGACTGTTTGAATTTAGCAGTACAGAAACAAAGATGAAAACATTCTGCCTGGAGGAAAACCAATGTCAAATATTCCCGCTTGGCTGTCCTTGTTGTCAGGACATCTTCATATTGCGTTACTTAGACAGTTCCTGATGTATGTCTCTATCAGAGCTCTTATTTTATGGCATATTTTGTTGTTTCTTTTTCCCTCCTCAGAGAACGATAAAATTTATGTTTTGGGGGGTTTTTTGGGGTGTTGGGAGGTTCCTTAACACATACTATGATGATTTCTTTTCACAAAGATCACCTAGAAGAGGAATCCCCCTATTAAGTATTTACTGCCTTGTCATCAGACACTGCATTTAGTATTTGCTGGATTAAACCCCTGGTATTTGCTGGCTTCCCCCTTCTCCGAGATGTTTACCATTTCAACCAGGGTGAAGCATTAGCTGCATTAATAGGGGTATAGATTTAACCTGCAACAGTCCAGAGCAGTGGTCAAAGCAAATGCGTATTGTTAAATAATGGAATATTTTCCATTCCTTTGCATAGCGGTCCTTTGGGATGTGAGGGCTAAACAGCAAATCAGGCAAGAGCCTTGCCGGCTCTAATTACACAGCTTGCTTAGGCCGTCTCCGCTCCGGCAGTCTGTCACTAATCCACGTGTTAGCGTAGAAAAGACAACTGACTCACTGTGGAGGAACTTGAAACACTTAAAAAAAAAAGAAAAAAGTCAGAATTATTTAGCATTTTCTTTTTGCACCAGTATGCCGTGGCAGTAGTGGCATGAGGTATTTGGAAGGCCCGGGCTTTCTCTCCCCTCTCTCCCTCTGCGAGGCTCTTCCTCACAGGTAAACGATGGATGGAGCCGGACTTCCAGCTATTCCTCGGTTGCCTCCACTTCCCCAGCGGGAAGGATCGGGGAGCGGGGGGGAGGAGGGCCAGCCAGCGCTGTGTGCCCACTCCTGCCCCACCACAAGCCAGGCAGCCTGCCAAAACGCCCTGGGGAGCCGGCCTGTCCTGAGAGAGAAAGGGGCACGCTGTTGGCGATGGACTCAGGGTAAACCCTTCTCTCCCTCATGCATGTTTAGGGGCCAAAACATAGCAGAGGTGTCTCAGGTGTAGGGTGCTGGGGGAGGTGAGGTCCTGCCTGGTGCAGTGGGCACTCTGGGAGGGGGCCAGGGGCTGAAAGGACGCGGAGCTGGGGCAGGCAGGGCCCTCCCGGCGGCTGCGGGCCCAGCCCGGCCACGGAGCAGCAGCTCGAGTCCCTCTCGGGGAGAGGCTGCCCTGAGAGCCGAGCACATCTGTCAGCTCATTGTCTGCGCGGAGCGGAGAACAAAGAGGACAACAACAGAAAAAATGCAAAATGCATTTAAAAATACTCTTTCATTTCCCTTTTTGCCAGAAGCAGAAGTACTTAAATAACAGAGGACAAAAGCAGCTCTTGCAGAATTTCCAAGAATTGGGAAAAATAAGAAGTCCTGTGAGAAGGACTGTTTTTAGGAGACTTCCACCCCTGTCCTGCCAGACCTGGGCATGCAGTCTGGGGAACCCCCACAGGAATGTGCCCAGGAGCTGCCTCCCCCTCTCTAAAGCAAACACCAGCCTTGTGGCTGCAGTATTTCAAGTCATGTCGGTTCGTTTGGATACATGTCCCCTATTCATTTTAAAATCAAGCTTTCAGAAAGGTATGAGGCAATTTTTTTTCCCATTAATACTTTTCTTCTGCAAATTGCTTGGCTAAAAGGCTCAGTGGAATATAAAAATCAAAGGGGTAGAGATTAAAATCTAAAAAAAAAAAAAGGTAGTAAGGAAGACATTGCTAAAAGATGTTTCGGGGAAGTGTGGGTGACAGTAGATTTAAGAAATATTTGTAGCCAGATGAAGCACCCAGTCTGTGTACAAATGTTCTGTTACTACTGATGTACTCTTATAGCATGGGGGTTACTTTGATGGTATTCCATACAAGGGGATCATACAATTTTATATACAATATATACATACAACTCTATAAATACAATTTTATGTAACTCAGAATGGAGACGAGCTGCGTGGATGTAATTAAGAGCAGAAAGACTTCCAGTGGTTCAGAGGTAGAGGCTGTTGCACACGAAATGAGATGCTTTTACACTGAGTACGGTGAATATTTGGTGCTTTATAGTGACGTTACACAGGACTGCCGGTGACGGTCCCTCGCAGCCTGCAGTGGTGGCAATGCGGAGGTGCGGATCCACTGTCGGAGATGTTGGGCTTGTTCCTCGATCAGAGGAGATGTATTGCTAGATATCATGTGCTGAGGTTTCATATTGCACATATAAGAAACGAGTATAAATAGTAAGAGGGCATGCATAACAGAAGTCTAGCACCCTATATAGCTGGTTTCCCAGTTACGGTAAGAATCTGTCCGTGTTGAACTACTTCTAGAAAAACCTACGCTCCTGTGAGAATTCAGAGCATCTGCCAGTTTCACTGTGCAGCACCTCTAAAAATCAGCCCTGAAGTGGCTCAGTTTGCTTGCTTCCATCTCCGTGCGCCCCATACGAGATCTGGGTTTTTAGCTAGTCCTTCCTCCACCTCCTCGCCCGTTCCACCACTTACCACACTGGTGGGGAGCCATGTGATCTTAGCTTAAAATAGCAGAAAGTTTGCTGAGCTGCTGACCAAATGGGACCATTAACAAGTTACCTGACCTTCTGGTGCCCTCCATCAGTCAAGCTGGCTGAAGTCAAGTCTGGTAAAAAGCAGATGTTGCACCTGTGCTAAATATTTCATTCCTCAGTTCAGCTAATTTCTACATAAACATGTAATTTTAATATGTATATAAGCCTTTTCCTGGTGAGAGGAGTGTTCAGTGATGTGTTTAAATTAAATGCTGTTGCTTTTGGTTAGGACTAGGAAGGTGCTTGCAATTAAGTCCATTTTGAGAGCTTTGCTAACTTGATGCCCTTAATTTGTCTCCTTTTTTTAAGTCAAGCTTTATGATTTTTTTAAAAAAAAAGTGTGGTTAATATCGTGATATTCTTCTAGATGGGCAGCAGATCTGGGAAATGGAGGCAACAGTGGACAAAGATAAGAGCCAGCCTGTAAGTATGCAAAACATGGGATGTCCTCTCCTTGGGCTTCTCAGACAGCAAGTTGTATTCAAGGGATAGTTTTCAAAGAGCGTCTCAAAAGCAGAAAGAGCAGCTATCTTACTGATGTGATGAACAAATGTCAAATGCTTCAGCAGTAAATGTGTTGCAAAAAGAAACTATTCATTTAGCAGTAACCCACAGCAAATTGAATAACTGCTAGATTTTGTGTTCTTGCAGAAGACTCTATTGTATCAGCCCAGTCCTCTGCAGGATGCTGGCTGTCCTGACTTCCTTTTGCCTGTATGGAAGTCTTGGGTGCTCTGTACTTTGCAGGACAGGATTTGTACTATAGTATTTAAAATGAACATTGATCTTTCAAGGGAATGAGCCTCTTTGTTCACTTTGCTTAATGGGACCTTACTGTAGTCGTTCAGTGCATTTAGGAGCTAGCACTTACATTGCCATGGGCGATGCCTGCCCTTGCGGAAGAGAACGGGAGACTAGCTGTTAATTTCCATGGAAGCGGGATCTGGCTACGTATAAGTAAAAAGCCTATAGAATAATCAAGTTTATTCTAACAAAAAGAGGGAATTCTGCAATACATACTTGTTTATCAAGCACAGCGTGATTAACAGTGCTGCCGCATTTATCACCATTCTGTGTGTTTTATTTGTAGCTGAGACTTCTTTCTCTAAGTTCAGGACAACATCAAGTACCAGAGAGAAAACAGTACATAGAAACCAGCTTCCTAGTACCAAAAATCTTCTAGTCTTTCACCATCTGCCCTTTTTTCCCTTTCTTCTTTGTATACCCTTCTTTATTAGGGATGAATAGGAAGATTTCTCTTCCTTTATGCCTGGATGCATAACAGGGGAGATGCACCCAAGAATCTGTGGTCAGCCTCAGTTGCTAATTCTATATCGTCACCTTTCGTTGTTTCAGAGCATGCTTTTTGTAGAAGTACCAGAGTACCGTAACAAGCACATTCGCACAGCTGTGAAGGTGAATTTTTACGTCATCAATGGGAAAAGAAAAAGAAGCCAACCTCAGCATTTTACCTATCACCCAGGTAATTCTCAAGGACAGAGCAAGTTGTTGCCTAGTTCTCATGAGCCAGATTTTATTTTCTGCTATGTTGTTTTCTTGCCATTATTTGAGGATCTAAATTTTACTGATTTAATTCAGCTGAGTGCAGCTAAGCACTCAACAACTGTTCGGTTTAAAGGATGCTTGTGATTTATGATCAGGAATTTCCCATAAATTTAAGGGGACAGTTATCTTGGCAATGGGCTGATGCTGCCCCATTCACTTGATGGAAGTTTGCCAACAGCCTCAGTGGGAGCAGACTCAGTCTGTGACATGATGTGACCCTGTGAAAACCATGAGCATTGCCTTCCCCAGCTGACGTGTACAACAGTAAGATAACATCAGATCTGAGAAAGTAACAAGGGCTTGGTATGGAGAAAGACGAGCAATATATATTCTTCAGAATGAGGCTGGTTCAGAAAAACATGAATGCTTTTCTGATGTTCTTCCTCTCGGGAATTGGTGAGCCATGTCACAATAAATGCAGTAGGATTACTAATGAGATTCCCAGAATTTCTCAGCTTTGGCTGGGAGAAAAATATTGTGAGAAAATCAGAGTATTGTGTTTGTGGAAACCAGAAAGCATAAAGTAACAGCACCAGATTTTTTGCAAGCTTCAAAGTGATGTCTTAATTTGACTGGTTTCTAAGGATGGGCAAACATTCATTCTGATTCTTACTTTGGTCTCCTCCAGGCTGAAAATCTCTGGTCCTCTCCATGAATTTATGAACTGTATAGGATATAACCAATGTGAAGTTTTCATATAGCTGCTAAATTGAGAAGTACAATACTATCTCAACACGATCCCTAAAATAGACCACTTCAGAGAAGCAAACCTTATACTTCCAAAAAATAACCCAGTTGCATGACTGTTATATGGTCTCCATTGTATGGTATTTCTGTACTGAATTTTGGGGAAGATTTGACAAAAAAGCATTAGAAATGTGAAAATTTGTCTGTAGCGGACCATCATTTATCCACACCAAGATTCACACAGCTCTCACTAAAATCATGGTCTTTTAAATGATGGTGTCAGAAAGATCTTCAGCTCTCACTACTGGGGAAGTTACATGTACCAAAGGAACTGAAAAGAAAGCCCTAAAATAGTTCAACTGTGCCTTTGGTCACTAGTTAAATGTTTGACAGAAAAAGATAAGTCGTGTATGTCGTAGGATTTCTAGTTATTCAGTCTTCCTTTGAGGTGGAAGTACTACAAGAAACACCTATCTATGGCTTCTTATTTTGCTTATGTTCCAGAATGAGCTAAAGTATTCATTTATTTGATTTTCAGAAATTCATGGTTAAATAGATCATTAAAGATTTTAAAGAACATCCTGATATAGAGTGCTTTCAGGAGAGGCTCTGCCATGGTTGCATATACATGATTTATTAAACTCAATGCCTGCGAGATACAAGCTCACACATGCAAATCTTTTAAATGGCTTAAATGTCTTATTACTTCAAGGAAAACCTCTCTGTTTCTCATCAGCTTGTTACGAATAATGTCCTTTGCATGCTTTATTCTAGTACCATCAATCAAAACAGAGCCCATTGATGACTATGATCCAGCCTTAATCTGCAATACAGTACACAGTGGTCTGGGAACAGTAACACAGCCTTACTATTCACAGCATACAATGGTCACCGAATCCCCTTCCTGTCTTGTGGCCACTATGGCTCCTTGCCAGCAGTTGCGCTCAGGCCTTTCTTCTCCTGATTCTCGATACCATCAGCAGAATCCGGCCGCTGTAATATACCAAAGAAGTAAGAGCCTTAGCCCGAGCCAGCTGGGCTACCAGCAATCCAATTTGATGGCTACACCGGTTGCTATTTCAGATGCCCATAGGTCAGTGCTGGTGCACGCTGGTTCTCCAGGCCAAACTTCAGCGGTGCTCCACCACTCTCCAGGCAACCAGCAGTCTTCTCCAGTGATTCACTATTCTCCAACAAACCAGCAGCTGAGGTGTGGAAGTCACCAGGAATTTCAGCACATCATGTGCTGTGAAAATTTTACGTCCAATGTTGCAAGATCCAGCCAGCCCCAGGTCAGTCAAGCACAAAGGTTAAGTCCAAGTTCATATCCTACCGTGATTCAGCAGCAGACAGCCTCAGGCCAGCGAGCAGCAAAAAATGGACCACCGGTTAGCGACCAGAAAGAAGTGTTACCAGCTGGAGTCACTATTAAACAGGAACAGAATCTGGACCAAGCGTATCTGGATGACGGTAAGCGTCGGTTGGAGGGAGGGAGGAAGTTTAGGACTTAAAAATCACACTTGTTCCTCTGCACAAAACCAACGTGGCCTCCTTTTGATGAGTGTGGATATTTGCTGTTTGCTCATGCTGCATTTTGGTCTTTCATCAACTGCATTTTTGGTAGATGGCAATGCACTTTGGCAACTGAGCAAAAAACACAGTGTTCTGCAGAAACCTTCTGTCTTGCTTCGTGCCATGGAGTGAGCTGTCAGGTTTCAAGCTGTTTCCATTTTGTTTCCATTTGCCAAAGGTTAGTTTGGAAAATGGAGAATCTGAAACAAAATGCACTTTTAAATTATTTTTTTGTTATTCATATCAGGGCAAAGTCCACTTTGTAAAATGCTTTTGTACATTTTGTACCAAAAAAAAAGCCCATTGAACAGTCTATCAAGGCCTGTAATGAATGGGGTAGTGCTGCAGGCAAAACTATTGCAGATGTTCTAGATGAACAGTAGGACATTGATAAGTAAAACAATGCTGTTTCTTTGTTGTGAGCCCAGCAGATTTAGCCTTTAGGAATGAATATAAGTTAGAGTAAAGCTTTCTTTGAACATATCCTGCTTATTCTTAGGTAGGCAGCTATTGGCAGCCTGGTTGATTGGTTCTTTTATTAAAGTATGTTCCTTGCAAGAGGAAATCAATGCAAAGTTAATAGTGCAGCTGGACACTGCAATCATAAAGGCCAGTAGCAAAACCAACATCGATTTTAGTGGGAGCAGAGTGAGGTTGCTGGATATATTGCTGCAAATATAGGGTGTTCTTATGCACGAAGTACAGACCTGATTTTCACATATATTCACTGCTGCTGTCATAGAATCATAGAATCATTAAGGTTGGAAAAGACCTCTAAGATCATCGAGTCCAACCGTCGACCCAACACCCCCATGCCCACTAAACCATGTCCCTAAGCGCCTCATCTACACGTCTTTTAAATACTCCAGGGATGGTGACTCAACCACTTCCCTGGGCAGCCTGTTCCAATGTTTAACCACTCTTTCAGTGGAGAAATTTTTCCTCATGTCCAATCTAAACCTCCCCTGGCGCAACTTGAGGCCATTTCCTCTCGTCCTTTCGCCAGTTACTTGGGAGAAGAGACCGACCCCACCTGTCCTCTCAGTCTAGGCAATTGTGTGCATGGTTTGATCTTGTGAATGTGCACCATTATGTGCTTTGTAAGCACCCAGTAGTTTGGGATTTTTCCTGCAGTTACTCACCTAGAGTTGTGAAGTTGTGCCCATGAAAGTTTTATTTTCTTTCACTTAGGTACTGTGTGCTCTGTGGCTGTATCATGTACAGTCTTCATTGCTGCTTTTGTGGGCAGAGTAGAGTTTGGATGGTTTTCTTCATTAGTCAGTGTTTGAAATGTGGTTGATATAGCTTTGGTGCCATCACAGTAAAATCTGGAGAGCTTTTACTGGTCCCCTTGTTTGAAGAGGAGTGTTGAATTGGGTTTTAACAGTGTATTTGATTTAGGAGATTTGCTGGATCTGCAAGAAAATAGCTAAGTAAAATCCACTTCCCATTCGGGGACTGGGACATGATAACAAAGCAAGATAATCTTTCTAATAGTAAAATTGAACACTGTGTTTTAAGGTACTTTTAATATGAGAAGCTGAGAGATTCTTCCACGTTTCTAAAAATACTTGGTACAAACCTTGTAAAAGAAATAAAAAAGAAAGAATCTTGAAGTTAAAGCTAGCAAACTTCAGAGTCAAGCCAAAGTCCACTTAAATGAACTCCCAAAATGGACTGCAAAATTAATTTCACTGGGTTTTGAATAACAGTAACATCTAACTATACCATAGCTCACAAGGGCTGCGCTCGACCTCCGTGCTAAGAGGAGCCATTAGGCAGAATAGCAGCAAGTTAGTAATGGAATTCCAGGCTTCTGCTTGGCTGACTGGATCATCCTGAATTGATTTCAACTAGAGATTAATTTATCAGTTATGCCACCCAAGTCAGGCCAGGCGAGATAGGCCACATGCAGTCTCTTTACTGACCTCAGTGAATTTACATTAGTTAGAAGTGTGACTTGGAGAATTGTGATTTACTTTAGGACTTTGCAAAACATTTCATTCTGAAATATTCAGGACTTGAATTGAAAAGCCACTTTGTTTGCTGCTGGGGAAAAGTGACTCAGAACATAACAAAAGCCATATTTTTCCTGACTAGAAAGTTTATTTTTGTGCTTTATAGTATTAAAAGAAAGCAAACCCAAAGGATTATGGAGGCTTTACCCTCAAATCCCTTTTATCCAGAAAGCTCTTCTGAGATAAAGTGAGCTGTTAGGTCTTGCAGTGATTTTTCATGGATAGATACCGAGATGATGGTTCCCCAGCCACGCTTGGCATGAGTGCGCTGCACTGCCGCTGATGCATAGACACTTAGGCAATCACTGTTTCGGTGTCTCTTGCTTCCCTTCGCTCTTCTTCCCTTCCCCCATCTTCCTCCTCCCTCTTCTTTGTTCTTCTTTCTCTGTATTTCTGCTGACAGTCCAGCTTTCGTCCCTTTCTACGGTTGTGACCTCCTCTCATCAACTCTTGTCCTCTGCCTTCGTGGTTAATGCGTAGCCTTGGTGTTTTGGACTTTCCTTCTATTCTGAGCTTTGCCATGAACTTCTTGACTGACCTGGGACAAGCCCCGCTCTGTCAATTCCTGATTCCTGAAGCTGTTGCCTCTCAGAGTGGTATGCTGTCCCAGTCTTTGAGCTCTCCTGGAAGTGACCAGAGAAGAACATCTCATAGCTAATGCAATCATTGTTTCTCTTTACCTCTTCCAGCTTCCTGCTGCCACTGCTGGCAGGACCCTTCATTATTTTCTTATCTTCCATGATGTAAAAAAAAGTATTTGTCCTTCTTCCTGAGACCACGGTTTGTTCTTTGCTCAGGGCCTTCACTGCTCCACAGGGCACATAATACTGGGGACTTAGCATACTTAACCTCTCTTCACCTCCTGCCTTGTAAAGATAAGAGCTGGTTCCACCTCCACGGGAGGATTACAGTCAAATGTGTGACCATAGCTCACAAAGCTGTAAGGTCTCAAGGTTGAATAGCACCAGCAGTGTAGCCAAAACAGCATGGACCTTAAGACAGGTGATGGCAAGTATTTACCTGTCTTCTCAGGTGGGTTTTGTCATGTGTGAGGACCTCTTTGTGCAGTAGCTGCACAACTGATATCGTCCATACTGGCTACCTTAATGGTAACTTTAGCATGTCCGTAGCTCATTTCTGACCGTACTGCAGATGTAGAGACCTGCCATGTGCTTTCTTGGAAGGAAACATTTGCCCCTATTCTCCTTTTACCCGTGCTACCTCAGAGCAAGAGGTGCCCAGCCCAGCCTATGCAGCCCCCTTACAACTTCTCAGCTTTCCCCTCCCAGACAGAATTACGAAACACGTGGTTACTGGAAGGAAGGCTCTAGCTATCAAGTCATATAGGCTGGATTTGGAAATGCAGCCATTAGGGAGACTGATGCAGGTTAGACATTGCCACACATATGTATACCTTCATATATATATTGCTCCATATACGTCTAGATTTCTCTGTTAAAAAAAAAATCCATAACTTTTTTATATCAAATAGTGTAAAGATGAATCCTCAGAGGAAGGGACTATTCATGAAAGATTAGGAGAAATCTTTGTTACACACCTCTGCCTCAGAGATTCATTAGTGTTGGAAATACTTTGGGAGTGAAGCTAAGCCATGGTCAGGAGATCCTTCAGGACCCATCTGGTGTCCAGGCTAATGCTGGCAAGCAGTGATCAGCTTCAAATGCAAGTGAAAGCCATAGGACGAGAGAGTGCTCAGCATGTTTCAGCCAAGGCCTCATCTTAATATTGTTCATAACCAAAACCACCAACAATGGTAAAAGTTATGCAAACAACCACAGAAATATGTTGACAAATAGAACTTAGTACTTCCAGGACCTTCAGTGCAATCAAATTAGCTATTTAAAACACAAACCCAGTTAAAAAATTAGTTATTTGCAGCACTGTCCAAAATTCCTTGGTGGGGCAAGATCAAGAAAGAGGGTGACCCAGGGCTTGGGGCACTGGTCATGCTCTGGACTGCCCATGCTTATGCTGCAGAGCCAGAGGTTTCCTGAGTAGCTCTGGGGAAGCCACTCAGCTGCCACGTGCCACAGTTCCCCATCTGCAACACAGAGATATGAGGATTGTGTGACAAGAGCAGTAGGAGGATAAATGCATCACAGACTCTAAAGCACTCAGATGCAACATGATCTAGAAGTGCCTTGTAGAGATTGAGTGTCAAGTATGGTGTTAGGCTCTTTCCATATCCAAATAATGGATGTGTAGCTGTTGTCTTGAATGTTATCAACTTGCCTGCCTTAGATTTAGTTCTTCTTTTTGGTTCAGCTGTCATGTTGTGTGCTTTTTACTTTACAAAGAAAAATGATTGTCATTATTCAAATAGTAACTGTCTAACCACATCTGACACTCAGAACTGCCTGCTTGATACAGCAGCTCTAAATTATTTTTGGTGCACCAGTAATCTTTAATGGGGAGGAGAAAAGCAAGGCAGATGCTTGTGTAGTGGTTTATCTGACTGCCGATCAGCAGAGATGTTTTATAGTGAACTCATGTATTTCACAGAAAATTTCAGACACAGCAGATATTTCTTGAGAAAATGGATCTGCAGGGTGTGCAATGTGGTGCTTGTAAATCACCCAGCACTTTTGATCACCTTCGCTACGAGCAGTGTGTTAATTTGTGCAGTTTTGCTCCCCATCACAGTAACCATGGCCCTAACCATGGGTCTCATCCAAGACCATTCGGAGTGTGTTAGGTCCCTACATTTTCTTTTTGTGCTCTTTCATTCAGCAACAAGGAAATCCACAGTCTGTCCCCACAGTGGCATGAAATGAAATTCAAATCCCTTCTTTCCTCCACGTTCAGGAAGAATCTTTCTTTTCTGACCAGCTTTTTCCTCCTTAGGCTGGTAGTTGTTAG